GGTGGTGGCGGGGAAAGGAGTGTCTCCAGAGAGCTTTGCAAGTGTCATGGTCCCGCTCAGAAGAAACAGATTCTTGCAAATCTGCTCCTGGAACCTGAGGAATCGCTTGCTGCCTGCTCAGAGCGCTCCTGAAATAACGCTGCTCTTGAGATTTTGCTCCTTACCACCTTGCAGCCGGGATTGGGGGGGGGGGGGGGGGGGGGCAAAAGTGTGCAAAAGTTACTATCTCGCCTACAAAAGAGGCAAGAGAGTCTGTCCCTATTGTGAGGAGGGTAATTAGAAGGTATAAAGGGTCTCATCGAGTATGCAGCGGGCTCTTTGGGAAGTTGGGAACCCTATTGAAACGCCTGGGAACTCGGAGCTGAGGGTTAATGTGTGTCTTTTTTTCTCTCGCCACTCTCATTGACAGGGCCAGATAGACTCTGATACTCAATGCTGTTGTAAATTCAATTGCCTGGCCTCACAATGCCTACCTCATAAAAGAGAATAACTCGGGGTTGTGGCTTTTTTTTTTTCCAGTAAGCAAGGGAACTGAGGAAAAGACAGTTTTGCCACCCATTCTGACTCACCCCCAGTACTTGAATCCTGGCCAAGTGGAAGCAATTGCAGCCTCACACACACAGAATTAACCACTTCCAATTGTCGCCAATTAATAAGGCCGTGGTGTGGAGAGAGACCATTAAGAGTGAATGCACAGTATGGAAGGGAAAGCTTTGTGTGCTTTGCTCCAAATTTATGAGGTGGGGCTATCGTGTAATCTTGGAGAGCAAAGCCAACAGATGACATGTCTGCACGCCAGAGCCACGTCTAGAGGCATAACCCATCTCGGCTGGGCTTCCTCCATCCTCCAGGCTGTGGGATCCCCACCGGCAAAGCCGCTGCTCCTGTCCCCCCCTCCCCGAGACCTAGGGTTTTTCCTGGTGGTTGGGCTAGGTGGGTTGGGTCGCGGTGGGACCCGCAGCCTTTCAAAGTTCAGAGAATGACTCGATGCTTGCAGAACATCCAATTAATTCAACAGGCCTAGGGATTTTTTAGACTGGAAATGCAATTTCAGCTTTCAAGGTCTAGTTCTATGAGCAAGCAGGTTGCAGCTTCTGTGAGAAGGCGGCGTTGTGCATGTGTGTGTTGGCGGGTATATAAAGCAGATTATCCGCTTCTGAAGGCTTTCTTACACCTTCAGGAGATTTTGGCCAAGGTTAGATACAGGCGTGCGGGCTGCTTGGAGCCTGGTGCTGAGCCAGCCCAGCGATCCCTCTGCACCAAAGCGTGGGCAATCGATCGGTGCTGAAAGTCCTCCATCGCACAACCAGAACTAGGTATCCATTTGACTCAGGAGGTTCCCAGGAGGTTTTGTTATGCAATCACAGACATAAAATCATGTTACAGCAATTCTCTTCCATCCCCCACAGCCAGTAACTACCCCTCCTCTTCTGTCTGAAGAAGGCTTGGAAGAGCAGATGAAAGCCTGCCTGTCGCCTGCGCGTAACTGTATACCTCCCTGGGGCAGCACCATGTCTCTGGACTTGTCCCTCACTACTCAGTCCCCTCCAGATCACCCCCGGATTCAGCAAATTTCTTTTATTGACAAGGTACCCAGGCCAAAAGCGAGACTGCCAAGCGCTACGCTGCTGAGTTCAGGCACAGAAAAAACTCTTTTCTGAGTGGGTTTGGAATGATTGCAGCAGTGCAAACATGACACACACCGCGGCGTTCCTCTGGGACCCTCATCTCCCAGCACGAGAGAAGCAGTCAGTCACTGCTCTGCCTCTTAACTGAGACCCTGGGGTGCAAGCACGTAAGGGTCCCACTGTCATTTCGGCCTCCATATAAACACTGCAGTGAAGGAGCAGAGCCCCAGTTGCCAGCACCCTACTTTTACGTCCAGCACTGCCACCTGCCCTTGTTTTGGCCTCAGGCAAGTCATAGACTTCTCTGTGCCTACACCTGGTGGTACAGAAGCTGGACATGAGGTGCATGGCACCCACAAACTTGCACGCCAGAAGCTCAAAATCCTTCTGCAGGAAGAGATGTTGTTGCCCTTAACTCCAGACCGCTTCGGAAGACGTACAGCTCGGGCTCCATCACTGTGGCTGCCCTTGGGTTGCACCCAGACCCTCTACTTCTGCAACTGCTCTTCTGGCTCTGCCAGGCTATTCCTCTACAAGGGGGTGGCTGCCACGCTCCTTCGAGGCTTTCTATAGAGCTGCTTTTCCAGATTGTGCTAAATTTGGTCTTATCCCTTTAAAAGTGCAGTAAAAGAGCAAAGTATGCCGCTGCTGAAAGGTAAAAGTCCAAAGGAACGGACACAGCGCCAAAGTGATAATGGTTAGGCAGAGCGCAGGCAGCCAGAAGTCCATGGGTGTAATGGCACGATCTGGGTGTGGCGGAGGACGGCGAGGTGGGAGGAAGGCAGCGGTGAAACCCGGCTAGCCCGCGATGCCTCCTCCATCTGAACTTAACTGCAACACCTCTACCCTGTTCCAAGAGTAAAGATATGGGGATAGCTGTTAACCAGCCATTTCCAGAGCCGGCAGAAGGCTAACCAGAGCAGGGAATTTAGTTCCAGCTGCAAAACCCAGTGAAATGTTCAGCAGTAGTCCAACCGCATCCCCACAGCACTGTGGCCCCAACAGGCACCCTCTAAGAAGTTCGGTACAAGGAAAGAGAGTCTCCCACAAGGCCCCAGGCAAGAAGCAAAGCCCCTTTCAGCTTCTGGGCTGGCCCAGTTCACCGGCCAGCAAAGCAGCACCTGGGAAAAGCACCCGAGGCTTTGGCTGAGGTCTTTTTCCCTTCCCATCTCCTGCCCTGGTGCCTTTGTGTTCTTCTGCTTACAAGTTTCCCAGAGAGAAAATTTTCTGGGGTTATCCTCCTGCCTGCGCTCTGCTCCCTGCCTCCCCCAGCTCTTTCCTTGCCCTCTGCCTCCTCCGCCTACAGCTACATCTCCTCCTCTGCTGCTGCTTAGCTGTTCCCCTTCCTCGCCCGGGAGGGAGTGATGCAGCCCCACAGCCCTGGGCAAGCCCGGCACCGGCGCAGCGCAGGAGAAGCTGGGGGGGGGACCAAGGCCCGCAGGGTGCAGGGGTGGGAGCTGCCCACCCCTCTCTTTCCACATGGGGTCTTGCCCCCCATCCCATCCCATCCCATCCCATCCCATCCCATCCCATCCCATCCCATCCCATCAGCAGCCCCACTGGAAGGCGGCCAAGGGCTGCATGAGGGGCCCGGCGGCGTTACAGAGGGTTGGGGGGCTCCGGGGTCGTCTCCCCCTTATTCCACAGCCGGCCTGCTGCTGTTCAGGGAAACGCAGGCATCCCCAACCTCCCCGACCCGGGGCGGCCAAGGCGGACAGGCTGGCGCACACCGCCTCGTCCTTTTGGGTTGTGCATCCCAGAGACCCTCTGAGGAGAGGGAGCGGTTCCTCTGGCTCAATGGATGCAGCCAGATTTACTCAGGCTGTTAAGTTGATTAATTGAAATGAAGTTCCTCCAGAGAATCGGCGTGTTCTTTGAGGTCAGGGTCACAACACTGAGACGCTTAATCAGATCTTTCCATTTAGCCCCTCTTAGGCAGGCTGGAATGCAGGCTCTTTCAAAGCGAGGCAGTTGGCGCCAAATTTCTGCTCTGCTATCTTGCCTCTTCCATTACATTTAACCAGCACATCCATCATTATGAAATAAAACCCAACTCTACAAATCCAGCTCAGGTGATCTTTCCGCAACCAAAGCCGGTAGGTAAAAAAACCCGAAAACCTCCATCCAAGCTTGATACTGCTGTTGTTTTAAAAAGCAAGGCAGAATGGTGCGGAAAGGGTAACTGTCACTCTAAGTCGGTCCTTTCGGAGGAAGGGGGCAGATGTTTCTGTGTGGATAACAAATTCCTTTATCTGACTGAAGCATTTCTCTGGGGAAGGTGGAGGAGGTTATTACAAGGTTACCCCGAACTATTGTTAAAGAAAGGGTTTTTCATTACAATTCAAGAGCCCATCATATTACCCAGAGATAAATCACTCCTGTATGGCTATGGAACAGCTCGTACGCCACAGACAAGCCAGATCCCACACGCATTAAAAGCACTGAGAGCTTGTCCATTGTATAACTGATCGGCCAGAAGTTAGCATATCCAATTAGCACGTACACTGCTGCGGACCTCTTCCACTCCTACTTCAGGCCCGGTAAGCAGAAGGATGTTTCTTACATCCAAATGCATTGATTGAATATAACGTAATTGCTCCTATTTCTTTATTCTATCAGACAATGCGGGGCCAGTATCTCCATTTCACTGTATAGCAAAATGTTTATTATTTCAGCGGCAGGATTAGAAGTGCAATATATGTGCATCGCATCTTTAGGCAGAGCTGCATAAGCAATTAAGGACCCCCCCCAGATCTTGGTCATGCTGGCTGGTACTGGGGGGGGTTCCCCCCAAAAACCTCCCAA